AAAAAAATGGAACCTACCACAGCTATAATATCTTCATCTGCATTATATCAAAATAATTTACAAATACCGAATACAATACAGAATATTTCTTGCACACAACCAAATTTTTCAAATTTAATATCTGACTATTGTAAAAATCATTCATTGTTAAAAACTAACAAAACTATTATTTTTGATGATAATTCAATGATAATTACTAAAGTAGTACCAATACTTAATAAAAAGCAACAAGATATTATGATAACAGATTCCCAAGAAATAAATTCTGATATATATTCTGCTAAAGTTAGACAGTCTATATTACATAATAGTATAGAAAAAAGTAATTTTACAAATTTCTCAGTTAATATAGATAGTGATGTCTTGAAAAATAATTCCAAACATGTAAATTCTTGTTTATTAAGCACAAATATAGAAAACAATGTTGTACAAAGTTCTACTCCAATTAAAGTTCAGGATTTTGTAAATATTAAACCTAGCATGTCTTCGCATGAATCAATGCAGCAACAAACTTTTGCTTCAGCTTTAAAAGAAAATAACACAGAAATAATTTGTGCTAATGTATTTAATTGTGTATCAAGTAAATCTTTCTCTGCCATAAACTTAGAATTAAATAAAAATGAACACATTAATACAACACAAACACAAACAGTTATATCACATCCAAGAAGAACATATACAATTCACTCATCAAATAGTAATCATACTTTTACAGTAAATAGTAAAAAAGAAAATAATATTTCAGAAATTAACAATGATGTTTCTTATGAATTAAATAATGAAAAAAATAGTGCATGTAACATTTTAAATAATACAAAAGATTTAGAAAATAAAGAAGATTATGATATAAAATATTTAATGAATGGAAAAGATATATTTTTGAATGAAAGTTTGGAAATATTAGAATCAATTAAACCACCTTCATTTGATTGCTTAGATGACTTATCACATATAGATCATTCTACGGATATTATTTGTAATAAGAAAATTGATATAGAAACAAATTGTGTTTCACAAAATGAAAATGAATCTGAAAATATTTTAAAATTTAAAGATTATCAGAAAAATGAACAAATAGAGAATCAGCATAAATCGCAAACATTTGTAATTAAACGTACATTTTTAAGTGATACATTAGAAAATTCAAATAAAAATAAAATACAAACTAATGAAATTTCAAAATTGGAATTGTTAACTCAGGAAAATACTGATATCGATACTGATAATCGAATTTTAGAATTTTCGTCTTCAACCATAAATAATAGTGAAAATTTCTCTTTAATGCATAATACTAATGAAGATTTTCAAAAATTACACATGGATAATTCTAATTTAGAATGTCTTTTATCAAATGCAAAAGCTACTTATAAAACTTTAAAAGCTGATGACAATAATAAATTAAATGATACACATATGATGAAAGTAAATAATAAATTTTATTCAAATGAACAATCAAATTTGAAATCTCATACTTTTTGTATAGAAGAAGAAAATATTATAATGAAATCTTTTTCTTCCTTAATGAATGAATTAAAAATTTGTGCAAAAAGGTATTGAGATAAATTAAATATTTTCTATAATTTTATTATTGTATCAAATAATGTTTGCAATATTTTTTTTAGTAATGAAATTATTTGGGAAGTATACTATGAAAACATCGAAAGAAATATGTTTATAATTGGTTTTATATCGTGTTCATTATTAGTAATAATATTTATACAAAATCCTTGTGAAGAAATAAATGATCAATATATTAAAAAAATTAATATAATTTCTCAATTGGAAGGTAAGTTTAGAAACGCAATTAATGAAAAAAATATTAATTTATATTTAATATAATTTTTTTAAAAATATTATTTTTTTATTAGACGATGCAGATGCATTAATTACTATAGTTCATCGAATAATTCTAGAAAAATTAGATATTAAAAACTTATTGGATTTGTATAAAAATCGTGAAGATATTTTACCGATGCTAGAATACATTTCGAAAGAAGTAAAATTAGCTATGGATTTTATGTTTGATTTGAAACGTTTGAATGATCCAAATTTGATGGAAATAACTCATGATAGGTAAAAATGATTAAAATTACAATATTTTTATATAACTTATACATTTTTTTTTTTATTTTAGCATATCTTTCATATCGCAAACTAAAACAGGGAATATTATATTAAAAATTACAATAAATATCAAACCATTTGATAAGATAGAATTTCAAAATATTTCTGTCCATTGTTTAATAGGTTCCGTAAGGTCAGTTGCGAAAGTATTTAATAGATAATAGATTGTTTTATTGTAATTTAATTATTTTTCAGAGAAGAAGATGTTAAAAAATTAATAATAAATGTAAAAAAGGATCATAAGTTCTTACGAAGATATATAAATGATGTGAAAGACTATATATATTTGATGGAAAAATCTGGTAATATGATTTAAAAAAAAATAGCGTATATTAGCGTATCTTAAAATGCAATAATTAAATAATGATGTTTAATTTTAAATAATCACGCTAATTGTATATAATTTAATAATTTTATATATAATCATAATATAATACATAATTTATATATTTTTTTTAATAATATTTTTTTAATAATATTATATACTTAAAAAAATATTTTTCGTATTTACACATAAATATATGATATATGAAAACGAAAATGTAAAATTACGAACAAAGGTTGATCAACTAGTTCTCCGATGCCGGTTCAGTCAATGCAGTTTTTTATATAAGTATTTACGGTCCTTTCGATAGTATCGTGTGAACAGCCGGCTTTCATAGAATTACATTACTTTTCTCTTTATTTTTTATTAGTAATTATAGCAATGATATATATATTTTTTAAATTGAATAATTTTAAAACTTATAACTTAAAATCTAGTTAAAACTAAGACTTCATTTAATTAATTCTAATTTTCAATTCAATGTAAATTTTATCTCAAATATAAAGAACTATTATATAAATATTATTTTTACAAGAATTATTATCTTCAAAAACATATTTATTAACATTAAAAAAACAAATTAATATTTATATATATTATTCAGTCTTAGATCGTGCTTAATATTTTATAAAAATTTCTTTAAAGAAATCATATTTTCTTTCATCAATAACTTTCATCAATCCTATTTGTGTAGGCGTAAAGGTTCGATTTTACATAATTTCGTAACAGTAATGATTGATTTTCATTATCGAAAAATACTTCATAAAAATCTCGCAGACTTTCAGTATTTTATTTTCTCCTCATTTGCTTTCCATCTTGCAAAATGTATAAATGAAATTTAATCATATATGAACATCATTTTCGAAATTACTAATAACTATGCTAAATATGTAATCAATTGTAAAGTATTAAATAAAGAAAATTTAAATTTGATAATCAGAAATAATATATTCGTAATTTTTTTTCTTAATATTATTTTTAAAATATAATCTAACATTAAATATTCGAAAATTTTTTCTTTTAAATTTTTTGATTTATTCCTTTAAATAATACCTATTTTATTCTTTCTTCTAAAATCTATATTTATATCTATATTTATAATTAAAATATTAAATATAAATTTTAAGTCACAAAAAATTTCGATTTTTTATGTGTATTGGATTTGAAAATACTTACGCAACTTATTGTTAAATTAAACTACAAATGAATCTTGGCTATTACAATCCAAGTATTCTAAATCAGACAAGAAAGACAAGGTTGACGAGTAACGTCAACGGATAACCTGCAACGGTGATGTTGGTCCAACGATACCTGTTCGGGATTATGAGAACGAGGCGGATAGTTACGGGAGCAACAGCAGCAGCGGTTCAAGTGGGCGTAAGGGCTGGGAGAGAGAACGTCGTCCTGTGTTCCATACATGGCTATGCTATGTGGAAACCGAGAGACACAGAGAGACGGACGTACCGGCAGAGTCCCCACCGTGTGGACGCGGCGGAGGCGACGTTTTCTCGACACGAGTGCCCACCGCATGCTTCATGCACAGTGTGTGCTAGCACGACGTCGTCGTATGATCGTTCTTCTTTTGTGTTTTATGACATTATAATCAATTTAAAATCTAACGTTTTTTCGTAATAGACAGAGGTAGTGTAATTTGATTTAAAGGAACGATAACATGGAAAATTTTGAATAGATTCGATTAGAAAATGCACTTGCGAATATATTCATATATATATCATTGGTATGGATATTGCCGCTCCTTTTATCTATTTTAAATAAAAAAAAGTGATAAATAGCGTGATCCGGAGCTCATAGTTTCGAAGTTTAAGCGGGTCCGCGCCTATGGCCGAGTGACAGTTCTCTTGGTTTGGCGAGCGTGCGATTGGTCCGCTTGTGCTTACTCTCGTTACGTGTGTTGCCTGCGTGCAACAGGCAACGTGGGTTGGATGCGTGAGTGCGCCTGCGTAAGGACTACGACGTATCAGCCGCGTGTGCGTGTGCCGCGCGTGAAGAGAAGCCGCAGGGGCCGCAAAACCCGGATAAAAGAGACACACATTGCTATAGGTATGTGTATATATGTATATATCAACCCTTTGACAATGAATTTTGGAAAAAAAATATAATGTTAGTATCTCTAATCCTTTAGAATCCCTGTTCTGTTGCAATAATACTTTTTTTCTTTATACTTTCATTAATCCGTAGTATTTTTTCAAAATCTTCATTTATTCATTATTAAATTAAATTAAATTGTAATATCTAAATCATAAAGATTTAGATATTAAGAAAAAAATGAGTTTATATAATTAATATTTCTATAATTAAAGTTTTAATTTTTTATCTGTTTTTTACTTTGAATCTTTGGAAAATGCTTAAATAAATATTTTATTATATGACAAATAATTGTTTTTTGTACCGTAAAATATTGAATTTAATTTTTGATTTATTGTTAAATAAGCTATAAATTTGATCTTTCTTTGAAAAAATATTTCAAAATTAAATTTTTTTTTTCAAATTAAGATATTGCTTATGTATTCTTTAAAAATTTGCTAGTGGAAGTTATAATACAATCGAATTTATAAAGTTCTTTACAATATTCGTCCCCATATCTGTCTCCTGTTTTTCGATGATCGTTTTTAGCATCCCACGAAGACGAAAACCAGTTTCACGTCCGGACACGAACATTGGCGAATCGAAGAAAGAACGAATCGCTCAATCGATGATCATGCTTCTTTCAACGATGTTTCTCCCGGAAAGGTCACTGTCTTTGAACATCGTACAGAGATATTTACATCCATCATTATGTCCATTTTGAATCGTTTTCTTTTTAATTTATCTTAAATTTCAGTTTTTTTTTTGATTTCTTAATGATTAATAATTGTGAATTATTTTTATCGTTGAAAAAACTTGTTAAAATACTACAGCTTTGTCTTTTAGTGCATCTAAGAGCCTCTTCCATGTTTTATTTTATTTAATGAGTTTCAATCATTTCCATAGTCTTTCTTTCTCAATGAAGAATAGAAAATTTTTATCATATTGTAGATTTGTTTTAATTATTTTTTCATCTATGAGTTTTTTCATTTATGCAGTTTTTTTACACGTTCCAATAGTGCTTTTTCCTTAGCCAACATCCTAAGCCTCTTCCTTCCAAGCGGTGTACGATTTTCGAATTTCTCAAATTGAGATACCATCTTAGGTGGCAAAGGTTCATATTTCAATACTTCATTTATAATTTCTGTCGCGAGTAATGGTTTGAACTTCAATGTGATTCTTCGACGAAGATTTAGGATATTTTGTATAGTATTTTTTATGTATCCCAACGGAA